TATATATATAAAAGAAAGACCTTTGGGGAAACTAATGTTCCATGGAGCCTCAATAGAAAAGTGAAGCACTTGAGCTCAAAGGGGGAGAGAGCTTAAAATTATCTCCTTTCTCTGAGACAATAAGCCTCTTGGCATTTTCACCTTGGCCAGGATTTCCATACACTTGAGGGTCAGTTCAATTGCTTTTTCCACCAAAGAGGGTTAAAACAATAAAACAGGATAAAACAAAACTAAAATCTTGCACTGGCTTTCCAACTGAAAACAATGTGTCCTGAAAATATTATGAACAATGGAAGCTTCCCCTGGCAGCTAAACAATCAGTGATTTTCCCTTGGTGCTTTTCTGTCTGGGAACATAATTCCTATGCAGTTCTTGCAATAATCAGCAAAGGAGACAATGGTACAGGTAGAAGAGTCGGTTTTCTTGCAGGTTCACTATAGTTGCTGCTGGTTTTCATGTAATGAGAAGATAGCCTCCTTCTGTAAGGACCAAAGTCCCCATCACTTCTGCCAAAAGCTCTGAAACTGCTGCTGACTTCAGCAAAAAAAAACCCTTATGTGTCAGCCTCAGCTACTGCTCTCCAATTCATTATGAGCAAGGTGGTTTTGATATTCACAGTCAGCTCTAGATATGTGTCTAAAAGACAATAGCATGCCCTTGTGGAGGAGGAATTGTCTTCCTACTTCAGCTTCTGTGACAGGCCTTGCCTGTGACTTGCCACAGGGAGAGCAAGATTATTCACTAAATGCTGAAGTGCTGACCTGTTTTCCCAGCCTGAAAGAAAGGCTGTTGAATAGCAAAACAGCTCAATTTTAAGCTAGACAGAACCAGTTTCCTTAACAGTTTTCTGTAGATTCTTACTGCTGCTGGCCAACAACCACTTCTCTTAAAACCAGCATCTCTTCCTTCAGGTTGGCATACTCTCCAGTGCTTGTGCAAAAAGGGCAAGAATTTAAAACAGAGAAGAGGCATTACTGTGTGGATTCTGCTGAAATTCGGTGGTTGTCTCAGCAGGATATTCCCAGTCCACATCAGAATGCAAGTTCTCCAGAGCCAGTCATCTGTTCTGTTTTGCTGGAAGCTTTTAATTACTGGTCAGAAATGAGAAATGGTCATTGCACGTCCCTGTACAACTCCCCAGTGTTAATAATGTTCTACAAAGGATTGCAGGCAGAAAGATGAAGGCCCGTTGCTGCAGTGTGAATAGCAGAGGCAAAGCTGAGGGTAGAATTTAGCCCTAACACTTTATTAGGCTGAGATATTATCCCGTATGCAGCATACATTCCTGAAAATGTCATGCTACTATATGCTCTTGTCCCAGTAATATGTGGAAAAAGGACCCTAGAGTGGGCATCTTCTCTTCAGGGATGCCAGCATCCTGACTAGAAGCAATTAAATATCATAAAAAAAACAGAAAAATGTTGTGCTGCTTGACCAGTAACTGCATGAATGCAACATATTGCACCAAAACAGAATCAGTATCGCACCAGGGCTATGTTCTCACAGTTCTAAAATCTGTAAGATATGCACGGTGCAGTTCTTTAGATGTTCCCCAAAGTTATGTATAACCCAGAGGCAGAGTAAATTTCTGTGTGACTGCTTTTCTGAGAGCTTTTACTAGTATCCAAGGGCTTTTGTAAGCCCTCATGAGGATAGCTGCCTATAAGCAGGATAATACTATGTAAAAGCACTTGTGATAGATAATTTCATGGTCATGTCTAGTAATTTCTACACACAGAAAACAGGTGTAACATGGCCTTTTTGTCATGCTTGGAGACCTACAAGATCTTTCCAGAATTGTTTGCTATGTGTACAATTACACAAAGTCCTCACCCCCTGTTATACAAGAGTGTCACATCCTTCACAAGTGCATAGTTTCTCTTGTCTGGTGTCTGCCATGAACAGAGAAACTACGACTTTATCTCTCAGAATGTGGGATACCTCAATGCATTTGAATTATGCAGATTACCCTGAGTTTATGTTGATAAAATCTTAAAATTTCACTGTCTTATTTGTGTGAGGTACATAACTATGCAAGGTTAGAAGAGGTTTAGGGAATTTAAAAGATAGATAGCCAAACAGTGGAGGTCTGATTTTTGTGTTTGTCTTTTTGAAAGATAATCTGAGTTACATGGTTACTGTGATAAAAACACTCAGTAGTGATCTGAAATGCTTTTCATATAGGCTCATATACAATGATTCTAAACAATAGTTTCTCAAGATATTCCAGAGCTGGACACAAATGGGGACACTGTCTTTGTCCCAGAGACGTAAAGGTCCCGGGATACCAGGGATGCAAGAGATCCATGTTCAAACTCAGCAGAGAATCTGGTCCACCCTGAAACCCCGGCAAGTGTCAGTTTGGAGTGTCACAAAGAGGCCATGGCAAGGCCCCAAATCCAGACTATTTGACAGCCCCTAGTGACACCATAAAAGCATTTTTTACATGAAGTAGTTAACCCTGGTTCTGAAAGACAAAAGATTCTTGATCATAAGAGTAATTTGAAAAATGTGTTTCAGATTCAGGCATAATGCTTTTACAATCAGTTATTGTACAGTTCATGTTTCCAAAATTCCATTTCACTCTTGCATTCTGCCTCTAAATATAAATCTCTTCCTCCTTCCTTGTCCTGTTCTATATATATAGCACACCCACATGTGATAAAGCCTTCTGCCGTAGGCAGTAAGGGAATGAGGAGGGACTTGGGGGGAGACTGTAGCTAACCTGTGGGAGCACTGAATGCACTTGGCTGCTGCTCATAATGCTCCAAAGATATAATTATCACATGCATGATGAGTACTACACCTGCCACATCTCTTTTGCTTAAATAAATACAAGATTCCTTAAATGCCATACAGCTCCCTTACTGAGAAACCATTAGCCTGAGAGGTCACTAGAGGACTTCACACTCCCTCTCCTTCACTTTCCACCAGGCAGGTTTCCCATGACGTGTCTCTTGCTCTCTTTTCCTCCTACGCCCCACAGCCTTTCCCTATTAAAGTCCTCACTATCTCCTTTTCAGTGCCCAGCTTTCTCCTTCATTGTGTTTTTTTCTCCTTTTTCTTTCCACTGTCGTTGTCTGAGCCTTCTTTCCTGTTGCCTGTAAATCTGATCCACTACAGTTTGTAGGTAGCACTTAACAAGCAAGAATTCTCAGTGAGAAGCTGGGATCGCTTTAACATTAAGGATGTGCTTTGTAGGTGCTTCATTCGTCATCCTTGTTAAAGCTTGCTTTGTCTCTGCAGCCTAATTTAGCATTCTGTTCAGCCAGTGCATTATTTCTTCTTTATCAAAAGAGTTCTTGTGCATGACTGTAACCACACTGCTGCTTAGTATGTGGCCTAGACAAGCTGCCTGTGACACACTATGTGAAAGCTTTTTTTTTTTTTTTTTTTTGGCTTGAACCATCTGCTGGTGAAATGTTCCTATCACTAAAATCGCTTCCACATAAGGAGATTGACCCATCACTGATTACTCGTCAGTGACTGATGTCCTCAAACAAGGACATGACCATTTTCAAGAATGCTACAGAAAGTAGTGTTAGATGCTTTGAGGATTACTTTCTCCCATGTCTGCTAACAGTGAATCCATTTTTAAGCCAGTGCAGTAAGACCTTTGCTGACTGTTGTCAACAATGAATCACTTTCCTATCATAGAGGGAACCTTAAGAAGTGCTTCAACCCTGCAGAAATATCTTGTTCATAGTCACTCCCCAGATTCTCATTTCTTCTGTTATTGGTAGTGGGTTTTGCAGCTTCCTAAATCACCTCTGACTCATGTCATTGCATCCACATACCTTTATTTCTCTCTGTGCACCATTACGTATGTACCAAAAGACAGACAAAGAGTTCAAAGGCCTTATAGGACATGTGTCAAGCAGAGCAAGGTAGTGGTTAAAGAATGGGGGTCTATCTCTTGCTTTGCCTGTGACTTCTCATAAAAAGCTAATGAGGTTATTTAGGCGAATAAATCCAAGTGCATAGAATTAGATATTTACACACATATATAGTGGGAACATAGCCAAATTTTCAGGAATACTTAATTCCCAAAATTTCATTGATAGCAACAGAATCTGTTATTGTTCAGACCCTTTTGAATTCAAAACAATTTACATAGATAACAAAGACAAATAAGCATTAGTATCTAAGTTTGAAAATATCCACCATGCACTGTTTTTCATTTAATTGCTGGAAAAAAATAAAGCATTATTTTCCCCATGGTTTCATAATGTGCTTATATATCCTGAAGTGACAGGTGATGTGTGAAAGCAACAAGTCTGTCTGTATAGAGTCATACATATTTTAATATAAGAAAAAAACCTAGTGACTAAAAGAAAAAAAAAGTCATACTTGAAAAATAAATTTGGTAGGAGATGTAGAGTGCACCTAGGATTAGGCCAGCCTTTTACCCAAGAGAAAAGCTAGTTCACTGCTGTCTGTAGAAAGTAGAATCCCATCATGGCATGGCTCCTGCTTCATGGCTTCCACCAAAAACCAAGATTTGTGAAACAGGGAATTCTAGTCATGCCTAGTGCCTACATTGACTTATGGGGGATTCAAGAGGAAAACAGCATCTATTAAAAAAATAGTTGAGCTTAACTTTGTTTCTTTCTATTGCTGTTTTCATAAAAGCCTGGGAGGTATGGAACAGCTTCAGAGACTTTAATGGCAATTCTTGTCTTTCAGGCATCGGATCTCAAAATCAAAGTTTAGGTAAGTAAAACTGATTTTTGCTTTTCCTCCTTTCCACCAGTTTTGTTCCTTACTTTGTGAAGTGGTTTACTCCTGCATCTATGGGACACAGAGGTGATTCTAGGAGATACTGCCAAACTTGTCAGATTTTAGTCACTCATCTACCAAAAAATCAAGTTCCTTTTTCCTAGTTTTGTACTGAAAAAAGGCACAGGAACTACTGACTGTATTTCACTTGGAGGTACTTATCTGATTGCTACCTATATATCTTAAGCCATGCAATATAAAAGCAGAAGAAAAAACGTTCAACCACATAATTACACCACATCCATCAACATCAACCCTGTCAGCTCAAGGATCTCTTTCCTTCACTTTGTTCTGTTATTCTGCTTTGCTTGATTGTAAATCTTTCAACTGATGAGGTTTGCATCTTATTTGTGAAATGTTCCCTTTCGCCATGGGGCACATGGAGTTTTTCTGGTGGTATTTGTTTTTCTGTTGACTTAAATCTTTTGAAAAATGTGAAGCAGTAACCAAGTGGTCATCTATGAATTTCCAGTGGAAAGTCTGACTGAACTCATAGAACTTGGTTGTTGAGGTCCCAGTCTATTTCTGCCTCTTCAGTAGGAGCCCAGTCGCCTCCATAACTCTGAATTCAAAGTTAGTTTTATAAAAAAAATAAATTGATTTTCAGAATAACTGGAACAAGTGAGCAACTCTGCCCTTCGGCTTACCTAAATAATGAACAGTAATGTAAATTCAGGAATGGTCATATGTGTACGTACTGCCTATATGCATCCCTGTGCAAAGAGTTGCATACATGATCACACTGCTACAATCCATGGATTCATTTGTGTGTAGGTGTAAGCACAAAAAAACCACTTGTGCCATCACATTGTCATGTGCATGCACATTTGTGCACAAGTATGCAAAAGTGTGCTAGTTTGCTCACTAATAATTTGGAAATAATTTAATGACAACATTAATGTCTGAGTGTTGTGCCCATTTTGAAAGTTTGGAAGATCGTTTCTGGTCGTAAATCCACTGCAAAACAAAAAACCCTTGTTAAATGTTTGTGCTAGCTAGACTGGGTGCCCTTACAAATTGCATAGCTGAAACAGCCTGGTTTTGGTTACCTGTTAAAATGTTGTTACAAAATTCTTGGCCAGTGTGTAGTGTTCACATCACCTGTCTTTAGTTCATATAGACGCTGAACCCTGACCTCAAGCATGGCCATAGTTTACCACTGGAAATGATACATAAAACTAGCCAAGAAAAGGTCTTTTTTCCTGTAATGTCATGTGTGCATGTGTGTCCCTTTAGAGACACACACACGCATGCACACACACATGCACATATATGTGTATAATGTCTATATAAAACTATTAGATTTATTATACAGTGGCAAGTGTTGCCTGGAAACTGGTTGCTATGCAAGTTAAATTCTGAAGAGTAGGAGGTGTGTAATTAGCTTTAAATATCTTCTGTGGTTAGTAATTACCCTCAGAAATCAGTGACATAAGGGGATGTGTTCACGGAAGGCAAACTTTAAAAGGTCTGTTGATTAGCAAATGGTATCCTTAGTTCCAGGCATGAAGGTGAGATGCTGAGGTCCCCTAAGATTTGTTTTTCTGTTCAGAGTTAGCTCTCACATTGGGCTTGCTCCTGAACATTGCTGAATGTTGAAAATGTTCCCTAGATTTTATTTGACCTTATCTCTCCAAGGACTTAATCCAAAGGTCCATGGTATATAGTGGATATCTTTCCACTGACTATCCTGAGGCTGGGCAAGGTCCCATTTCAGGCCACAAGCATTAAATACAAGAAGAATAATTATTTTGGTGGGAACTGGGCTAAAAAACCTTTCAGGATATCTGCAGTAGAGGTCTTAATCAAATTAAGACATTGCTTGAAGAGGTTTATTTACCCCTAAATGTTGAAAATTAGCTTAGGACTAACTTTATTCCTGTAGGTAAAGGAAGGATGATCACAACTGTCAACTCAGATGAAAATGAGAAAACATTTCTCAGGGTGAACCTTAAGCTTATTCTCTACCACTCTTGAACAATAAATCAAGGCTAGAGTCTCTCTTGACAGAGATTTGCAATAGCCTAAGGATCCCTATCTGAAAATAACTTTCCCTTTCCAATTTTTCAAGTCGCTACTGGCGCCGATGGAATCGATTCTGCAGGAGAAAGTGCCGTGCCGCTGTCAAGTCCAATGTTTTCTACTGGTTGGTGATCTTCCTTGTGTTTCTCAACACCCTTACCATTGCCTCTGAACACTACAACCAGCCAGACTGGCTCACTGAGGTCCAAGGTGAGGAGAGGCTGATGGTTCTGTTTATTGTGATCAGTGTCAAAAAAGGGGCTGAGGGAGGAGCTGATACATAAGACCACACAATGTAAAAGGAGCATACGCAGCTCCATATAGCCCTCTGTCTGCACAGGATCTTAAATAACATGACAAAATATCTGTCTACAATGGGAGAAGTTTCAGTGAAAACGTAAGTTCCTCGTTTCCAGCCAAAGCAGTGTTCTACTGGGTGTAGATGAAATCAGGAGCTTATGCTAGATATATATTTGTAGCAACTGGATTTACAATTTATGGATGGCTACTGGGAACCACAAGTTCTCCAAGGTTTCCCCTGAAATGGAATTTATGATAAATTCTCGTTACCAGGGAGATGAGGAAGGAAGAATGATTTGTAAAGTTCTTCTGTCTGCAGAACAGGGATGTGAAAGCAGCTGAAAGGCTTAATTAAGCAACAGTAGGTAGCACAGCAGTTCTTGTGTTCGCACTCTCATCTGCAGATGACAAGCGTGATGGGAGGGTGTACACAGGAAGGCATGTCACTGCCATGGAGGTTGTGTGGTTGTGTAATAATACATCACAGCTGTAGATGCGATACATAAGAATCGCTGTAAGCATCTTTGTAAAACATTTCTGTGATTGAGATGCCTATGCTTTTGAAGTCCATTCTTTGACCCAACCTTTCAAACTGATCCCAGAAGGGGTTTCTTATAGGCAAGAGCCAATGGTTAGCTATGCTGATCTTTTGACTAAGTTTCATTAATCTGTTTCTGTTTGTTTTTCATGAGACACTGCCAATAAGGTGCTGCTAGCCCTTTTCACGGCAGAGATGCTGCTGAAGATGTACAGCCTTGGTCTCCAAGCCTATTTTGTGTCCCTCTTCAACCGCTTTGACTGTTTCATTGTGTGTGGAGGAATCCTGGAAACAATCCTGGTTGAGACAAAGATCATGTCACCACTGGGCATTTCGGTGTTGAGATGTGTTCGACTCCTAAGAATATTTAAAATCACAAGGTACTTTTGTGCTTCTTTGGGAAGGAAGGAGGGCTATGGCTCAATGCACAACAAGTCACTCACATGCCTGTTTTTTTCACTTTTTCTGACACTAATTGGATAGTGAGATTGCTAGGTTGATGGTCCTCATCTTCTGAAGTCTGGGGCAGGATGGGGAGGGCTGTACAGACTGGATGTCCCTGATGTGAGTGGTAAGGATCGGTGAGGAGTCTGGTGTAGGGGTCTGGAGATGCTTGATACCATGCAGGTTGTTAAACTAAAATGTGGAAGGATAATATGAGCTGAGTTTAGGCTCTTATGGTTCCCTGAAAAAGACAAAGTGAAAACAAAACAGCAGATAACCCTGTGACCTTTTCTGCTGCTTTATGGTGACAGAGAAGAGCCTAAAAGACTGCTCTGAGCCAAAACAACAGTTGCCCATGACAACTTCAGTAGACTTAATGGTGGCCTGAGTGGAAGATAGTGTCAACACCAGCAGCTGTAGGCAAAGGATGTTGCCAGTACTTCTTCAGAGGAGTTCAGCATGAAGCAGCAGCTTTATGAAGAAATCAGACTTTTCCAGACTGCAGTCTCCCCTCTTTTTCCTTTTCCCTCTTTTCCTCTCCTTCTGCATAAAGGCACAGTGCAGTCTATTAAGCAGTTGTTGCTTCCTGCAGTCAGGTACCTCCAAAGCACCAGCTTGGTTTGTCAGTTTTTCAGCTTGAGGGGAGGTTGTAGGAGAGATCAGCTCCCAGCTTACCCAGATGGGAGCTCTTGGAACAAACCTATCCAGTGCTCACCCAAAGCAGCACAAGGGCTGCTTTTTCCCGTGTGGGCACCAGTCAACACCTTATAAAAAGCATGACTGAGGTGGTGAAAGTGAGTTTTCTGCAAGCTCAGCTATGAAAATGTCCTTAGAATTGCTATAAACTCCCTCAAAGGAAATATCTGACAAATTTGAGATAAAAAACACAGTGCATGAGAAAAACAAGACCAAAACTGGAAGACAGTCAAGATGACAGAGCTGAGAGGCAGAAAAAACAGCAGACTTGGACTTTTGCATCAAGATTTACCCTTAAAGCTTCTGAGCCTCAGCTCTCTGACAGGGTGGATGGTTTTCAGGGTCAGATGGCAGAGACAGAATATAAGTTTACAGTCTCAGAAAAAGAGGCCAAAGCAAGCCTACAACTATTAAAAAAGAAAAAAAGGTGGTCTTTTTGCGCTTGTGATCATAGAAGAGGGAAAAATGTTCCAGCTGACAAGAGTTTCCAGCAAGAAAGGCATCTTTACACTTTCACAAATAGCGGGAATCTCTCTTCTGGTGGCTGTTTTTCCTGGATCTTTGGGTCTGAAAGCTATCATCGCTGAGTCCCAGGCCTGGTTTCTGAGGAAACCAGTAGCTGTTTCAGGCATTGGGTAATCAGATACAACCAGGGCAACACACCAATAGCTATAAAAGCATAAGCTTCCACATAGCATCCTGGAGAGGTCATTGTTTTTTCAAGACATTTCTCCACTCCTACATAAAGTATATAATCTAGCTAAGAGAATTCTCTAATAGAAAGCAAAAGTTGAGAGAATATCATTAATACTTTAGGAAGCTTGAGCTATTGGAGTACTCGAATATTCCTAAAGCTTTTGGCAGTGATGTAATGTTGGAACCAACCAGCAGTAGGACTAGTTATATGTACCTTCATTCTGCAGCAGAATTAAAATACAATTTTGCACGGAAGCAAATGTTACCTGGAATACGTCTCCTGCAGTTTGTACAGGGGTCTATGTGTTAAAGCACAGAGAACTTTTAATGAATAATGTATTAATCAGATTTTGCCTTCTTTCCTGTTCCTAAAATATTGTCAAGTAGGTTGCAGTAGTCTCAGCTTTATCTGTGTTTTTTTTAATTATTCATAGTTTTCTTCATTATTTTTCCCCTCCGTGGGTGAAGTTCACCCTCATGTGGAAGGCCCTCACGCAAGCCTCCAAAGCAGGCCTACTCATGTCTTACTGCATTCTAGCATTAAAGCAAAACTTTTACCTTTGGTGTTTTCCAGTAAAATACACATTTTTACATTATTCACTCAGCTGTAAATGGTTTATTGATGACATTATGAGTACTGGTGCAATATGCCACCTGAGTGCAATGACAATAGAGAAAGACACAACCCTAGAAAGCTTGGAATGGTAGGAGGGATGATAGTGTAATGTTTTTTGTCAAATATATATTTGTGAGCAGTGAAAGTGGAGATGGAAATAGGGATAATCAAGGCTATTAAAAAGGCACAAAGCAGGAAAATTGGTGAGATTATATCAGTAGGCAGCCTAGGTAGCCTAATCTTTATATATTTGGATGGATTGTTCATGGTAAACACCAAGCACAAACAAATTCTTGTTGCGTCAAGATGATACACTTCTAGAAAAAACACAAATACACCTCCTTAATATAATAGAAACAAATAAAGACACCATCAGATGAACAATGCATCATTTTAGAAACCACATTTAGAATTTCAGCAGCAAACATTTCTTCCAAAATTATAAATACTATTCAGAATAATTTCATTTTGTCAATTAGACAAGTTGACAATACAACTGTTTGGTTTATTATCCTGAATTTTTACAAGGCTGTGCAGAAAATCTCGCTTTGCTATGAGAAGACAAATTATTTTCTCTTTACAGATAGTCTTTTTCTGCTTTATAAATTCCTATATTTAGTCCTTGGAACTTAAAAAAATGAATCAATTTATTTGCAACAGTATACTGAACTTTGATATTTTATACCTAATCCTGCCACTAAATATGTCACTGTTAACTGCAGGGAGGAGAGACAGGGCACCTTTTTTTTTGTACCTGCTTTCAAAGTGGTTTTATGTTGGATGAACTGTGTGAGAAGCCTTCCTTCAATGAGACTGCCAGCTGGTGCTACTGTTTTAAGCTCTGCATCTGTGATTCCTGGTATCATAAAGACATAGTGGAATGCAATGGAGAGGAGAGGAGAGAAGAGGCAAGAGAATAAAAGAACACATTAAGTTCTAATCCAGTTCCGCCGTTGATTTTTGTGTGAAATGTTGAACAAACCATTTAACTTCTCAGCATCATTCCTCTATTTTGAAACAGGGATCATAATCACATCCTAGTCACTGGGGTTTTGCAATGCTTCATTCACTGGCATCCTCAAGGATCTGAGATCTGCAAGTGGGAGATGTTAAGAAGCACATTCATTTCCCTGTAATTCTGAGGCAGCAGCAGCGCTTTCTCTTGTACCTCCCATTATATGCTGCCTAGTCCATCCAGCAGTGCCATGACATTTATTGTAACTATTATTGTAACTATTATTGTAACTAGGTTTTGTTTGTTTGGGGGTTTTTTGGTAGTATATTAACCAAGGAGGACAAAGTAGTGAGAGACATTTTCTTTGTCTGGGCTTCAACCATTCCTGTCTTAAAAGCCTTTTGTTTCGTTGAGTAACACCAGATCTCACTTCGAAGGGGTGTTCATGTCAGTTCTGCAACCACATAATGTGACAGATGGTAACCTCAGGTCAGGCTTCTAGGACAAAACGATAAGATAGTTGTTATTTTCACTTATTACTTAAGTCAAGCTTTCCTTATCCTCTCCTTTTTCTCTTTTTTTTTTTCCCAGATTCGTTTGTTTACTTTTCTAATGGTGCTGTATTTCTAGCTAGCACACGGTACACAGATAAAACAGCACTGATCTTATCACCAGGTCATCTCAGTTAATTGCTTTAAGTTTGATAGTTACATAAGAAACTGAATCTCAGGTATTGAGCCATTTGTAAGAAATGCAAGGCTGATAAAAGTCTGTGCAGTTGTGCTCTGAGACAGCAAGGCATTAAAGCTTAAAGTGAGTCACTGAGACTACTCAGATACGTAAAAGCTTTACTGTATGCCTCTTAAGGGCACTGCTAGGAAGACCTAGAAAATGTGTGTCCTGGCTGACATTGGCAAACTTGGAGAGATATCCTGGACTCCATCAATTTCTGGCTTAAGGGTGCTAAAGTCAGTCGAGTTTCATCAGAAATTAATTTTTCCCTTTTCCTTCACTTTCCCGTCCTCCCAAAGTGTGAAAGTATGTGACCTGTAAGCATAAACGCAAATACAGCGAGCTCTTCTATTGCACATCCAATGTGGACATTTTGTGGCACTCAGCCCACAGCTTCCATGCCCTTACCTTTGTTCTGTACTTTTTCACTGCTGGTCTCTTTAATTGCAGTTAAACTTTAAAGCATTAAATTTTTCTCTGAAATGCTGAAGCCGAGCTGGAGGGAAAACATCACAGTTCTCTTTGAAGCTCAGCCCTTGGAGATGAACTGGTTGCTGAACTTCAGAGGACATGGTGGTGTCCCTCTGCAGATCACATTGCTAACCTTCATAAAGTGATCGGGCTGCTCAAACATTTCTGTCTTCCATGGGACAAAGAAAGTCTTCTTTTTTATACTGGCATATTAAAAATATTAATTTAACTGGGATTTTGAGAACTCATGTCTCTAATGACTACACCACCTTCAGAACAGATTTGTGTGTTGAAGGATCAGGCTTCTTTAGAGGAACAAGAGCACTAGACATGTCTGCTGTCCTTCTCAAGTGGAATTTTTGTCTCTGAGGAAAACAAGTCTAGAAATTTAGAGTCCTCTAATGAAAGAAAGGGAGTGGAAGACTTTGGCCATGGTGGGATCTCAAAGCATGGTGGTAGGCCACAAGAGGTGGTGCTAGAACAAAGACTTGGAGATTACAGGCAAACATGCTGACCTATGAAAGCTATTGAAGCTTGCTAGTAATGTGTACACAAAATGAGGTGATTGGAGGATGACAGATAAGCTTCAGCCCAGTCCAAAAGCTTTGTCAGACTCAAAACTGTGTAAAAGAGAAGTCATGACCAACTAAGCAGTAGAGTAGGAGTGGTTGAGCAGATGCAAGACCAAAGTGGAGGCTGCTTCATGGATAACATGGTGGATTCTTTAGAAAAATGCATCCTTTTTCTAACACATGGCTACTCTGCAGGCTGGCAAAGAATGCAAGCAGACTGATGTGCTTCAGCAGAGCACGCAGCTGGCATCTCTTTGAACCCTTAAGTTGGGACCACAAGGGAAAGAAGATCCCTTCTCTGCATCGTGCATCAGTCTGATCTGGGTACAAGGCTGAATATGCTGGGAGGGCAGGTCTTAGCGATCCTCTCTCTTGAATGGTAGATGTTCTAAAAGCAGAAGTCTGAATTTGCTGTCATTTTGTTTGAGGTCACAAGTAACTTGTCCTTCTCTCAGCAGCTGGTCTAAGTGGGCTTCACCTTAGTCATATCCAAGACATTAATGTCAGTCCCAGAGAACTGGAGAAACATCTGTTGATTTGGGTCATTGTGAACAGCTGGTGTGTTGGCATCCTGAGTATGCTGGAATTACCTTATCCAGCTGTATTTGAACCTAGCTCTAAGCCCTTCCAAAATGTTCTGCAGTCTGTCTGAGGAAGTATAGTGGATTTGATGTCTCAAAAAAGTGGCGGTGGTGGTATGCTCTTCCAAGAGCAAAGGAAACTCTGGACTTTATGGATGTAGATCTGGAGTCTCTTTTAGAGTCCATATAAAACAAGCATTGGTGGACCTTTAATATCTTGCTCATTCCTCTCAGTCCCAAAAAGCTTAGCAATGTCTGTCTGTGAGTGAGCCCAAGCACATACTCACACACACCAGATTTTGGACAAGTTTGTATTTGCATCCAAACTGTTTCCCCATCTGCTCTTGTTAGTTATTACAGGCCATTCTCTGGAGTGAGGTGTTCTGGCTGCCACAACATCTGTGAGTGTTGTAATGAGGTTGGTTAGAATGTAACTCACTGAAGCAGCAAAAACTAATCACTGTATATTGATATAAGATTTGCAGAGCCTTAGATGGAGAGTGCTGCAATAATCTTCTGGTTGTGTATGGGGTAGCGGGTGGAGGAAATTGTGTATGTACACATGTGGTAGTAAAATTATTCATTAGCTGCAGTAGGTCTCATTATCTTAGGGAAACACATCAATGATTCACTGCTTAACAGAGTGTTTGGAAATGCCTGCTTATGCACAGAAGGCAGCCTGAACCAGTATCTTGTGCAGTCTAAGAGCGCCTGTATTGGATTGAAGAAATTTTAACTGCCTCTATTTTCTCTCCCAGATACTGGAACTCCCTGAGTAACCTTGTGGCTTCACTCCTGAATTCAGTTCGCTCCATTGCCTCCCTGTTGCTGCTTCTCTTCCTCTTCATCATCATCTTCTCACTCCTGGGGATGCAGCTCTTTGGGGGAAAGTTTAACTTCGATGAGATGCAGACCAGGAGGAGTACATTTGACAACTTCCCCCAGTCCCTCCTCACTGTGTTTCAGGTAAGGGCAAGAGTGGTCCCAATAGGGCCAACACATTGTGTTCACATGGGGCAAAGCAGAGTGCAGGTCCTGCACTCTTCCCCTGCAGCCTAACAGTCCCCAGGGCTGGACATCAGGCTAACAGCTCCAGAAGCAAGGTGCCACGCTCTGCTGCCAGTATAGGGGTATTCCCTCCCGAAGTGAGGAACCAAAGCTAAAGCTTCTGTGTGTAGAAAGGCCACCAGGTCCTAGCAGGGTAGGAGAAGAGAATGGCCATTGCCATGTGCCAGGGCAGCACCTACATGCCAAAACCCAACCCTGCAGCTCTCCTCCCCTCTCCCACAGTACTGGGGAACAAATATCTGCTCATAGCACCAGAGAAGTAACCAAATGACCTTTAAGATTACTGCAGTTTTGAGAGTGATCGACCAAGAGCTTTAGGATCATGATTTCACGTGCAAGGTGAAGGGAAGTGGCAGGGAGGACTGTGTCTTCAGTGCTATAGGTTGTGTAGCCTGTCTGAAACAACAGACACGTGGGAGGGAAATGCCTGCGAGAGGTGGGGAGACCTGAGCAGAGTTGTCTGGGAGAGTCGTTTGGCTTCAGCCATTATTTTCAAATTGACATCTCTTTTTTTTTTATTTTTTTTTTTTTTAACACCTTGAGCATAGGCCCTCTTTGCATCCTCTCTGTTTTGCTTTGGTTTGTTTTTTATTTTCTAGATGGACACAGCCAGTCTCCAGCTATCCTGGGGTGGGGTGGGGGAGAGGGTGGTTCTCTAGAGTACTGGTTATCTTTGTGGTAATGGGGTTTTCAAATTCTCTGTGTGGTCTAACAATGTATCCCTTATTGGTGGGAATGTGTCATTTAGATCCTGACTGGGGAGGACTGGAATTCGGTGATGTATGATGGGATCATGGCTTATGGCGGCCCCTCTTTTCCAGGAATGTTGGTCTGTATTTACTTCATCATCCTCTTCATCTGTGGAAACTGTATCCTTTGATGCTACTCTTTTCTTTAAGTGGGGCTGAATTTAGAGCCACCCTTTACTGCTTTGTTATCTCAGAAACCAATTAATTTCACACCTCACATTTTACCTTTTTTCTAGGTCTTAATTTTGGCTTTGCACTGCCAAAAGTTAAACAAGTTTATTTAATTTTAGCTAGTGCTAAGACTTTAGGCATATAAACAGTTGTAAGAGACAGCAACGTGCCAGTTCCACATGCTACCTTTTATTTAGTGTCTTTAAAAGTTTAGTGTTTTTATTTTTCATTCCTCTTAACATTCTCATAGGTTTTTCTTTCCAGCCTTCTCCAGAAACTAATTTTTGTGTGTACCTACTGTACTTACTGCATACTTTTGCTTCAATTGCCTTTTCAGTAATATATTCCGTGTGCTTTCATCCAAGCCTTATGTGGAATAAAAATATGTATAATCTACAATATGTTATATACAAATGCTGTAATAGGAGTAACATATGTTTGACATAATTGCTTTATGTGAGATCATATATTAATTCATGTATAAACTAACAGGAACCATGTTCCATTTCAGTTACTGCAATCTATGTGTTCTTCAAACAGAAAATTGTGTGCTCTGTTATCTTCCAGCCTGTGCTGGTATTAAGTGACTTCAGTTCTCTCTGGCTTCAAGGTGAAGTGAGGGCACTGTACATATCCCAGGAGGTACAAAGCACGTTGCATGATTAGGCTGAGTGTCTTTTCACAGGAATTTGCATATCACATAGAGCTATGGTTCTGTTCTGTATCTCAGTTTGCTCCAAATTTGTTCATGTTTATTTTCTGCTTCCCTAATAAGTGGCCCTCTTATGTCAGAGGTGACATTTCTTTTTATACTGATTCTTCAATAAAGCCACCTTGTAGTCTCAGCCGAGCTCTTCTGGCCTTTCCTCATAATTCAGATCTCTCAAACCCTGTTATTCGACATTTCAGTTGACCTGCAAGCCCTCTCTTCAAAGTGAGATGGTGCAATTCCACTTATCTGAAGGTCAAGGGAGGCAGTCTGCCTGACAGCTTAAAAAAGCTACAATTTGGATCTCCTTGTGAACTGCAGAGGAAAATGTGAGCCAGCTCTACATGCTGGCTGACTTTGGAGCCAGTAGGCCTTGGAGCACAGGGAGGGGGGTGGCTGTATTTCCAGACTAAGCCTTGAACTGGGGTTTACTTAGAAGTTATCATGGTGTAATAAGACCCACTCGAGAAATTTATAAAAGAAGCTGATGTTCATATTTGTAACATGAGATCTGAACACTGACAGGTAGGACAAGAAAATAGTTGTGATTCCTTGCCCTTCAGCTACACGGGCATGACTGGCCATGCCTGGACTCTGCTAGGAGATGGCAGAGTTGTCAGCTCAATCCTTCAATGTCTGGACTTAATTAATTTCTTTTTGGTTGCCTCAGAAATGTTAATGAGAGTGCTATGCTTGCTGTCCATAAAATCCACTCATGTCTGTGAGAATACCTGTAATGAGGTTGTTCAACTCAATTATGTAGAGCGCAACTGGAAAGCCCAGGTGCATTATGGCATGAAGCTCCTGAATAGGAGTGCTTTAATAAAAGCAGCCTAAGCTGTCCAAGATGCAAAGCAGTCCCACTTATCTTCAGTGGGATTTGTTGCACAAAGAGACACTCTTTGGAAACTAAAATGTAAGTCTGAACTTCGATGTTTTATATCAGTCATTCTGTTGTGAAATTTTGGAAACCCCGCACAGTGTGTTAGCCATTTGGATGGAAGGTGTAGGTTTGTGCATGCTGGATATGCGCATCCTGAACATTTGTGTGAAATGTAAGTTTAGAAAATCCAGAAGATCTGATGACAGGTTCCTAAAAATTTTCAATTAAGAAATCTTTGGTATAGTGCTTTGCAGTTTTCAAAGCCTGTTTTCTTTAAGTAGCGCACAAACAGATAT